TTATGTTATGCATCAGCAACCGAAATGCTTTAGCTATAATTATTAGCATCAGGACTGTGGCGGTGACATATTCCCCTTTTTTAAAAAAACACATGCATCTTACAACATTCCAAGTATTGTAACTTTTAATTCTTTTTTTTTTTGAGACAGAGTCTCATTTGTTTCCAGGCTAGAGTGTGCCGTGGCATCAGCCTAGCTCACAGCAACCTCAATCTCCTGGGCTCAAGTGATCCTCCTGCCTCAGCCTCCGAGTAGCTGGGATCAGGCATGCGCCACCATGCCGGCTGATTTTTGAGTATGGTATTTTTATTGGTCAATTAATTTCTTTCTTTTAGTAGAGATGTGGTCTCACTTGGTTTGCATCCCCTCACCCTCACCCTCAGCGCCCCTCCGCTCCCCCGTCACCCCCGCACACGTCTCCCCCACCCCCTGGCCCCGCCCCTTCACGCTGCCCCAGCCTTCTGCGCCGGCACCTGCTTTTCGCGCCTGCGCACCGCCGCCCCGAACCCTCGCGCCCGGAGCCGTCTGGGCTGCAGCACGCGGCGCACGAGGTGGAGCCGCACGCGGTGGAGCCCACGCAGGACGGGGCGGGCGGGGTGCCCAGGCCTCGCCTCCCGCGGTGAGGGGCCCGCCGGGCAGACGTGCAGCCTCCCCACGAGCGCAGGCGCCCCACTGGCACAGCCGTTCCCAGCGTGGGCTGCAGGCAGGCAGGACAGGGGCGGGGGCCCGGGGCGGGCGCTCCCCAGGGGGGTCCGGGCGGGAGGGGACGCCGTCTAGTCTGGGACGGAGTGTGCTGGACCGGCCTGAGATCTACCTGGCCATGTCTGGGTGGGCCAAACGCCACTAGACTCAAAGCCTGCCTGGCTACAACGGTGCTAGATCTAGAATTTGCAATGGCGGGAAGCATGCTCAGCCCCAGCCTTGTGCGGGTAGTGTGCCCTGGCCCCAAACCTGCTCAGGCCCAAACTTTGCTGGGATAGAGTACATTGGCCCCAAATCTGTTAGTTCTAGAATCTTGGACAGAATCCCACTTTAGCCTAAATTCTGCTTAGGCTCAACTCCACCTAAAGCCCAGGCCAACATGGTCTTGACCCTACTGGACCCAAAGCCTTTGGAGGCCAGACATTGTTAGAGCTTCATCAACCCCAAGGCCTGCTGGGCCCCAACCCCACTGTGCAGACGGAGACCGCTTGCTTCTTTCTCGAAACAGGCCGAGACATCATGGCGGCGGCCCAGCCCTCTGTCCCTTCTGAGCAGTTCACCAAAATCAAAGAGCTGGAGTCGGCGCTAGAGAAAGGCCTGGAGGAGGAGGAGGAAGATGGAGTGTGCAAAGTGAAGGATCCTCGGAGCCCTGGGGAGCTGGAGGCCAAGTGTACGCATGGGGCCCCCCAGGCCGGGGTCCCAGAAGAAGAGCTGGAGCTGGTGCCGGCCCCCTCGGGGGAGGAGAGCGAGAAGCGCATCCTGACCCTGGAGACGGTGCGCTTCACTTCCGACGACCAGGAGGTGCAGGACACCGGCTGGCTGCGGGCGCAGCCCCCGGAAGGGGTGCAGGTGATGCTGCAGCAGGCCAGTCCTGGGCTGCCGTCGCTGCTGTGGCTCAGCGAGGGGCCCCCGCCCCGCGTGCAGCCGTGCGTGGCCGTCAGCGTGCAAGAGGAGCTGTACGCCCTGCGAGAGCTGGAGGTGATGCAGTTTCACGTTCTGGAGGAGAATGTGGCCGTGGCCAGTGATGACAGTGAGCTGGTGGTGAGCCTGGCTGAAAGCACTGGATTGATTAAGGTACAGCTGGTTTTAACAAACTGACCTCGTATATGAATTAAAAAAAAAATAACTGTTTTTTTAAGTCGGCCTTTGTGCAGTATTAAGTTTCAAATTAAACACAGTAAAAGTACTTCCCAGGAAAATTTTTAGAGATCTTATAATTTTTTTATTCAAGAATTGTAGGCCGGGCGCGGTGGCTCACGCCTGTAATCCTAGCACTCTGGGAGGCCGAGGCGGGTGGATTGCTCGAGGTTAGGAGTTCAAAACCAGCCTAAGTGAGACCACATCTCTACTAAAAATAGAAAGAAATTAATTGACCAATTAAAAATATACATACAAAAAATCAGCCAGGCATGGTGGCGCATGCCTGTAGTCCCAGCTACTCGGGAGGCTGAGGCAGGAGGATCACTTGAGCCCAGGAGATTGAGGTTGCTGTGAGCTAGGCTGATGCCACGGCACTCACTCTAGCCTGGGCAACAAAGTGAGACTCTGTCTCAAAAAAAAAAAGAATTGTAAAAGTTACAATACTTGGAATGTTGTAAGATGCATGTGTTTTTTTTAAAAAGGGGGAATATGTCACCGCCACAGTCCTGATGCTAAATAATTATAGCTTAAAGCATTTCGGTTGTGATGCATAATCTTTAATTTTTGCTTTTCTTTATGTATGGTATGGTTCATCAAGGAAAAAGCTTAATCAGATTGTAATAAATAGTATATTTGTTGGAATATTTGTCTCTGTTAGCTTGAGAAGAGTCCAGAGGAGAACCAGCGTTTGGCCGAAGAAGGACCCGCTGAGAGAGCAGAAGAGCAGCTCTTTCTCGTGGAAGCGAGGCCCGGAGATGAGGGAAGAGACGAAATTGTTCTGACAATCTCGAATTTAAACATGGAAGTGCAGGAAGATAAGTCTGCGTCTGCTCCAGCGGATGCAGAAAGCGCCAGCTCTACAAAGGACGAGAGCAAGGCAAAGGGTAGGCCAGTCCATCCTGGAGAAGAGACCGTGTACAGCTGGGCTGCGGCGTTTCTTTGTGGGCAGGCGACGGTCATTGAAGTTTTAAGGGGTTCACTTCTCGTCGCTTTCCAAATGTCAGGGTACAGGAGACGTTTTAAACTGACGTTCTATATGGCGAATCAACTCCAAAAGGGTTTTGCGTTTCGCACATAAACGTTTTAAACGCAGAATAAAAATGTTCCCAACGAAGCATTGTGCACGTAAATAGAAGCTGACCCCTGGGCAACGCTCGTGGGGTGTGGGGGGCGGGGGCCGGCAGGTAACTGCAGGACAGGGTGGCGAGGCCCGGCGGCGGAGGAGAGAGCAGGTGCTGCAGGGCCAGGGGAAGGAGTGATCCGCCTTCAGGAGGCGGTGGGTGCTGCCTGCTAAGGGAGGTGACATTTAGGTGAGGCCCAGAAGGACCAGGAAGCCCTTAAGAATGAGAGTCCTGACCAGTTTTCGTTCCCACCAGTGTGTGAAGGCTCCAGTTTCTCCACATCGTCACCAGCACTTAGTTTCCATTGTGTCATTTTGTAGCCGCAGCCATCCTAGTGGGTATGAAGAGGTAATATCATTGTGGTTTTCATTGACATTGAATGACTGATCGTGTTGAGTATCTTTTCATGTGATTATTGGCCATTTGTGTGTCGTCTTTGAAAAATGCCTACTCAGATCTTTTGCCCATTTTTAGTTGGCAGCTGTGTTAGTTTCCTAGGGCTGCCATAACAAAGCCCTGCAAGCTAGGTGGCCTAAAACAACAGAAGCATGTTCTTTCACAACTCTGTGAGCTACTGAAAGTGAGGTGTTGGCAAACCATGCTTTCTTGGAAGGCCCTAGAGGAGAACATATTCCATACCTTTCTTTTAGCTTCAGGTGTCGCCAAGTCATTGCATTCATTGGCTTGTGGGTGCATCGCTCTGCTCTCTGCCTCTGCCATCACACGGAATTCTACGCCTCTGTCTGTGTCTCTTTTCCTTATAAGGACGCCAGTCCTACTGGATTATGGCCCGCCGTCATCCAGTATGACCTCATCTTAACCTTATTACATCTGCAAAGACCCCTTTTTCAAATAAAGTCACGTTCACAATTACCTGGCATTAGGACTTCAACATATTTTGGCAGGGGTTACAACTCAGCTCATAAACCTTCTATTCCAAGTTTGTTGTTTCTGATTTATCAAGGAAAGGGTGTTGGATTTTGTGCTTTTTCTGCATCTGTTGAGATGATAATGTGTTGTTTTCTTTCCTTCATTCTGTTAATGTGGTATGTTACATTGATTGATTCTTGTGTGTTAAACCACTCTTCTATTCCTGCCATAAAACCCATTTGGTCATGGTGCATAATCCTCTCAATATGCCGCTGGGTTTGGTTTGCCTGTATCTTGTTGAAGATTTCTGTGTTCGTAAGGAATATTGGTCTGTAGTTTTCTTTTGATATCTTTGGCTTTAGTATCAAAATACTGACCTTATGTAATGAATTGGGAAATTTTTATTACTGTTTGGGTTTCTTTTTTTTTTTTTTTTTTGTAAGAGTTGGAGAAGGATTGGTGTTAGTATTTAAGAATTTGGTTGAATTAATTAGTGAAGTGATCAGGTCCTGGAGTTTTCTTTGTTGGAAGTTTATTGATCAATGACTCACTCCCTACTGTTACAGGTCAGTTCTATTCAGATTTTCTATTTCTTCTTAAGTCAGTTTTGGTAGCTTTTGTGTTTCTAGGAATTTTGCATTTCATCTAGATTATCTAATTTATTGGCCTATAATTGTTCATAGTAGCATCACATAATCCTTTTTATTTCAGTAAGGTTAATAGAAATGTTCCCACTTTTCCTTCTTGATTTTAGTAATCTGACTATTCTCTTTTTTCACCTTTGGTCATAAGTCTAGATTAAGGTTTGTCAATGGTGATCTTTTCAAAGAACCAACTTTTGGTATTGTTGAGTTTCTCTGTTGTTTTTCTATTTGTTTTCTCTCCACTCTTATTATTTTCTTCTTTCTACTAGTTTTGAGTTTATATTTAATCTTCTTTTTCTAGTTCATCAAGGTGTAAAGTTAGGTTATTGATATGAAATATTTCTTTTTTTAATGCATGTGTTTCTTTTTTTTAAATGCAGATGTTTAAAGCTTAAAATTTCTCTCTGAGCACTGCATTACTGCATTAGCTGCATTCTATAAGTTTTGCTTCACTTTCATTCATCTCAGAGTACTTTATAATTTTCCTGAGATTTCTTCTCTGACCCATCAGGTCATGTAGGAGTGCATTATTTAACTTTAACATATTTGTGAATTTTCCAACTTTCCTTCAGTATTAATTTCTAATTTGATTCCATTATGGTCAAAGAACATACTTTATATGATTTCTGTCTTTTTAAATGTATTGAGACATGTTTGTTCCAAATGTGTGTGGCCATACAGCTGGTCTGCCCTGGTGTGTCTTCCGCAAGTACCTGAGAAGAATCTACATTCTGCTGTTACAGGGTGGAGTGTTCTGCAGATGTCTGTTTTGTCTGCTTGGTTTATAGGGTTGTTTAAGTCTTTTGTTTCCTCACTGATCTCCTTTCTCCTTGTTCTGTCCATTGTTTAAAGTGGAGTGTTGAAGTCTCTATTATTGAACTGTCTGTTTCTACCTTCAGTTGTGTCAGTTTTTGTTCCAGGTGTTTTGGGGCTCTGTTACCAGGTGCATGTATGTTTATAACTGTTACATCTTTATGATGGATTGACCCTTTTATCATTATATAATGTCATTTTTGTCTCTTATAACAAGTTTTGTCTTAAAGTCTATATTTTCTGATACTTGTATAGCTTCCTCAGCTCCCTTTTGGTTAGTGTTTGTGTGGAATATTCTCTCCCTCCTTTTACTTTCAGCCTATTTGTGTCTTTGAGTCTAAAATGAACCTCTTGTAGAAGGGAATGGATGCATCATGTTTGTTATTCTTTATGCCAGTCTGTTTTTTAATTGGAAAGTTTGATCTCCTTACTGATAAAGAAAGGACTTCTGCATTTTTCTATTTGCTTTTTTAAGTGTCATATCTTTTTATTCCTTGGTTCTTGCATTGCCGCTTGCTTTTGTGTTTGAAGAGCTGTTGTCTAGTGTATAATTTCAATTCTTTTGTCACATATTTCACTGTCTATTTTTGAGTTATTTTCTTCGGTTGCCCTTGGGGATCACATTTAACATCTCAATTTATAACAGTCTAGTTCAGATTAATGCCAGCTTAATTTCAATAGCATATTAAAAAAAAAAAAAAAAAAAAAACTTCGCTCCTGAATAGTTCCATTCCCCACCCCACTTTTTCTTGTTATTGTCACAGAGTGTATCTTTATACATTATGTGCCCATCAACATAGATTTATAATTATTGCTTTATGCTGTTGTCTTTTGAGTTAGATACAAAAAAATGAGTTATGAGTATAAAATAAAATACACAAACATTATCTATTATATTAATCATGTTGTCACTTTTATCAGTATTCTTTATTTCTTCATATGGAGCAGAGTCACTTTCATTTCAGCCTGCAGGAGCCTCTAGTGTTTTTGAAGGACAGGTCCTCCCAGTGACAGACTCACTCGGGTTTTATTTTTCTGGGGATGTCATAATTTCATCTTCGCTTTTGAAGGATGGTTTTGCTAGGTACAGAGTGCTTGTTTGACAGGGTTGCTTCTGTCTTTCAGTGCTTTGAGCGTGTCATTCCACTGCCTTCCAGCCTCTGCGGCCCCTCTTGATGACTGAGCTGTTAATCTCGCTGACACCCCTGTGCACAGGACAAGTGGCTTCTGTCTTGCTGCCGTCAACATTTCTTTCTTTGTCTTTCAACAGTGTGATTATGATGTGTCTTGACGTGGCTCCCCTTGAGATTATCCTACTTTAAGTTCATCAACTTTTTTTGGATGTACAGATTGTTTTCCATCAAACTTGGGAAAATTCTGGCAATTATTTCTTCAAATAGCCTTTCTTCTCCCTACCCCCCTTTCTGCCTCTCAGGTCTCTTAGCTGCTGCTCATTTTTCTTTAGCCTTTTTTTTTTTTCCTTCTTCAAACTGAGTAATCTCAGTTGACCTCTCTTCAAGGTTCCTGATGATTCTTTCTGTTGAGCCCCTCCTGTGAATTATTTTAGTTATTATACTTTTAATTCCAAAATTTCCAGTTTTTTAAAATAAATTATATCTGTTGATACTCTGAATTTGACGAGACTTAATTTTCATGGTTTCTTTTAGTCCTTCAGGCTCAGTTTTTCTCTCCAGGCCTTTGAGCATATTGTAAATAGTTGGTTTAAAGTAGTTCCAATGACTGGACTCTCTCAGGGACAGTTCCTGTTAATTGTTTTTTCCTCTGGATGGGCTACCACATTTTCTTGTTTCTTTGCATGCCCTGTGATTATTTCACTGAAGACTGGACATTTTGGCCATTATAACGTGGAGACTCTGCAACTCAGACTCTTCCCCTCGCCAGGGTTGCTTGCTGTCGTGTTGTGGGTCACTGTTCCCAGCTAACTTTGCAGCGTCTGAATGCTTCCTGTGCCCACGGGAGTCTCTGCTGATGATCGGACACAGGGTTTCTTAGACACCTGAACCAGAAAAGGTCTCCCTGTCTTTGCCAGAGCACTCTGTGAGGGGGAGTGCCTGTCATCTTTAGTTCACCCTCTGGGGCTGCCTCCCTTCGGCTCCCCGTCTTCTCGGGCTCCTCCCTTGGGGCAGGCACTAAGGCCCCTCTCGTCCCCGTCAGTCTGCAAGGAGGCGCTCTGACTTTGTGACGGTGGCAACGTGTCACTCGTCCGCCGGGGACGTCCGCCGGAGTCCTGGGTTGTTCCGGTCATCTTGCGAACATCCAAGCCGCGTGCCGTTGTTGCGGTGCACGTCAGGCGAAAAGGGGGTTGCGCCAGTGAGTTAGTTAATCTGTTGGAGGGGAATGCAACCCTCCCGAGGGAGGTCTTGGCAGACCCACGAGCCCCGCGTCCTCTCCCCGCAGGGCCGAAGCAGGCCTTCCGCTGCGAGGCCTGTGTGTTCTCCTCCTCCAGAGTGTCCAGCTTCAAGCGGCACCTGAAAACGCACACGAGCGAGAGGCCTCACCTGTGCCACCTGTGCCTGAAGACCTTCCGCACCGTCACGCTGCTGCGGAACCACCTCAACACGCACACAGGTAGGGCGGCCGCGGCCTCCCGCCGCCCGGCCCGCGCCAGGGCCGGCCGTGCTCTGCGCTTCCCTCGGCCCCCCGCCCTTGCATTTCCATTCCACGTCCCAGATGCCGCACAGACGTCCCCTCTCACACGCACCTGTGGCGTTCGCGGCTCCGAGAGCCTTCTCTTAGATTTTTCAAAGCGTTTCGAGACCCAGTGTGATTTAAGAGTTGTCGATTCCTGGGAAATGCTGTGGCTAAATCTCACTTTAAAACCGTGCACTGTGTGATCTTGCAGGAACCAGGCCCTATAAGTGCGGCGACTGTGACATGGCCTTTGTCACCAGCGGGGAACTGGTCCGACACAGGCGCTACAGACACACTCACGAGAAGCCCTTTAAATGCTCCATGTGCAAGTATGCCAGTGTGGAAGTAAGTCCGGCCTTGTGTTTTAAGCTTCGTGGGGTCTAAGTAAGACGTTGCCGCAAACGCCATGCGGAGTGAGGCTGCAGTAGAGTCTGTTGCGAATGGGTCTCCCTCAAGATAGGAGTCCTATCAGATTGCCACAGGAAACAAGAGGCTCTCTGTTTTCTAAAGCTAAAATGGCAAATTGGATTTCCTCTGTTCTTTGATTACTGGCTAGTGAAAATGATATATAAAGGTGTATGAAACTGTAAATAAAATTACTTGTGGTCAAGAAGTAATTTTTAAAATTTGCTAAAAAGCTCTGTCTCTCTTATTGTAAGTGACACTTGGTGCCACAAAACCAAAATGTATTCGCTGCGACACAGAGCGCAGATCCAGTCCGAATTTTTGCTGAAATTTTTAAGGCCACCTGAATGCCACTTGGTCAGATAACAAAGCAGCTTGCTTGAAGGTTTCAGCACAGCCATCTCTGCTGCTAAGTACAGAGAGAAACCACCCTTTCCGAACTTCCTGTGTCTTGGTCGTTCCAACTAGGTTGTTCATTTGTACCTCGTCACAGGTTTAGCAATACCCTCAATGAAACGCAGGCAGACACCACGGTAACTTTTCAAAGCCAGTTTACTACCAGTTAATTTTTGAGGGTTCTCCTGTGCATGGGGAAGCATGCTGGGCCGCTGTGCGGAGCCCAGTGGGGCAGGACAAACAACACACCCGAGTGGAACTAAGTTAAAGGGGACAGCTAAAGGTTAACGGTCATAATGATGCAACCGGGTTTCATAAATTAGCAAATTTCACAAACAGGGTCAGAATTTGATTCCAAGAATTTTTTTCCGCTATTACTATTTTTAAAAACTATTTCTCATCTGAGCTAAAGGTTGTGATTGTAAATTGTGAGAATTTAAAGTGAAGGTGCCAGAGAAAAGCCCCCTGAGCATTCTAACCCTGGAATGGATGTTTCATCCATGTCCTTCCAGTCCTCCGTGCGAGCTTCAGGGTCCCCAAAACCCGTCCCCGGCACGGGCCGCCGCACGCAGCCCGGGGCCTGGGTGGGAGGGCGGCCTTGGCACAGGGGCCTGCCCCGGCCCCCACTCTCCGCAGTTTCCGCGTCTTGCCGGCAGGAATGTGTGGGGGCTGTGGTGCCCACACGCCAGTTTCTGAGAGCTTTTGAAATGCTCTTGTCCTCCAGTCCGGCCTTCAAAAGCCATCCCGCGTTGGTTTTATTCATGGCCGCCTTTTGTCATTCTCACCACTTACCCTACTCAAAGCTCTCATGCTATAATTTTAAAAATTCTATACTCTGGTTTCTCTTCGGATCATATAAATCTTTCGCCTTTTTAAAAATTCTTTTTGTTTTGCTTCCCGGTATACTTGAAGACATTTGAGCTGAATTTTTCAGTTTGGATCTTGTTTTCCACCCTAAGCCGCCTTTTGTTCTTGAATGTTCTTAAGGCTTTTGTGCGCCCGTCACTTACCGGGGAGGCAGATCTGTGGGGTCGCAAGCAGAACTAACGTGGGCTTTGTGACTTGCATGGTCCCCATGTGGCTGACGCCTCTGTTTCCTGCTGCACGTAGATAAGGACCTGCCATGAGCAAGTTCAGCATAAGAATAGTCTAGAAGACAGTAGAACAGTCAGGCAAAGAAAGATCTGATGGGAGGTATTGTGTTGTTTGCTATTTAACTAATTGCCTGGGATACACAATGAATCAAATTGGAATTTATTTTCTTCTGCTTAAAACTTCTTATAAAGTCACTGCGTTATGACACGCGGTACCTGCACCTGCTGGCGGGCGGGGGCCTCCCCACCCACGTGCCATCACGCTGGGGCCGGGCAGGGTCGGTCCCCGGGGCTAGTGACTGAGAAGTGTGTGGACATCCCTCCTTAAAGAGCCGAGGTTCCACGTTTTCACTTGCTACCAAAAAGAAGTTTTTCTGGCCTTTGGGCTTCGACGGTGCGGTCTAAATTTTGCCACAACTGAGCGCAGGTTGCCTTAGACGTAAAAATGAAACCGTGGGTGGCATCGAGCGGCTCATTTCAGCCCTCCCTTTGTAGAGTTAAGTGGCAAGTGAAAGTCTCTCGGAACTGCCGCCCATCGTCCCTAAAGGAGCTCACACACCACGTCAAATGAAAAAAAAAAATATATCGCCCACAACAGAGTGTAAAACGTAATGAGCTTTTCACGTTTTTGCGTGAGTGAAACGTGCGCCGGTGCGCGGATGTCCAAATCTGATTGACTTAGATCTCGTTCATGACGCTGATTGACGGGGCTCGGCGCCTTCCGAGTCCCTCCCGCAGCGGTGACCTCTCGCTCGCTCGTGTTGCAGGCGAGCAAACTGAAGCGCCACGTCCGCTCGCACACCGGGGAGCGCCCCTTCCAGTGCGCCCTGTGCAGCTACGCCAGCAAGGACACCTACAAGCTCAAGCGCCACATGCGCACGCACTCAGGTAAAGGCGTCTCCCGCGCGGCCTCCTAAGCCGAGCAGACCTGTGTTTTCCAGAGTGTCCGGGCTTTTAAAAATTAGTCTTCAGGGGGCGAAATCCAAGTTCCAACGGAAAAGCCAGTTTTTGCGTTCCTTTCCAACTGGGAGATTTTGATCTGTGCCTTTGCATTTACCTGGCATTAGGGGAGACCCCATAAACGCTGCGCCAGGCGGAGCACCCTAAGGCATTTGCTCCCAAGAGTTTTCCAGGGATTTAAAAGTCAACTCCTTAATTCACCCTTCAACTTTGAAGCAAAACATAAAACAAGGTGTGCTGGCTTCATTTAGGAGTCGTGGGCTAGCCGGGGTTAAGCCTGTGAGAGAGGGGTGGGGGAGGGAGCCCTGGGAGCAGAAGAAACGATTTCAGCGCCCCGTGTCCTCTGGCAAGGGTCAGGGCTTGGGGGGAAGCCGCAGCGCGGGGTTCACTCTGTCACCTGCATCACAGGTGAGAAGCCCTACGAGTGCCGCGTCTGCCACGCCCGGTTCACCCAGAGCGGGACCATGAAAATACACGTTCTGCAGAAGCACAGCGAGAACGTCCCCAAGTACGAGTGTCCCCACTGTGCCACCATCATTGCAAGGAAGAGCGACCTGCGTGAGTGTCTGGTTTCTTTGCTGCAGAGTCTGCCGGTTCTTTGGAGCTCAGCCCAGGATGCGTTTTCTTCCACAGGTCCTGTGGCGCCATCTGGTGGCAGGACCGCGGAAGTGCAGCCCCACGGCACGTTCTTAGAGTCTGGGCGGGGACCCGTTGTTGGTACACATGTGATAAGATCTTTTGCAGATACCGTTTTATTCCGTACTGGGCCTGTCTTTACAGATGGGGCCCGGGACTCAGGGACAGAGTGAACGGCCCAAGAGCCCCATGACCAGGGGTGCTAGGAGGCCGCCTGGTTACAGATTCTGACCCTATTACCGTTCTCTCCAGTGATACCCACTAGCTTTTCCTAAACGCTTGCTTGAAGTTCTGGGAGCCAAAGCCACAAAAGGAAGAAGCCAGACATAGCTCTCCCTGTAAGGAACTCACTTCAGTGAAGTAAGATGGTAGCAGACCCCTGGGGGCCGAGGGCCAGACTTGGGTGCCGGGATTTAGCTGCCCACAGGGAGCCCGCCAGGGTTTGCCAGTGGGGTCGGTAAGAGTGAGTGGACCAGCCTCCCTTCTTTGGTTCAGGACCCGGGGCCTGCCTTTTTCCCCGGTCTTACTTCTCTTTCCCAAATATATGACACTGTGATACTCAGAATCCATTAGCAAAAGTAAACATTTACCAGTTTGCCCAGAGAAATTCTGGAAAGGAGCTGTTTTGGAGACATTGCCGAAAGGCATTTAACGAAGCCTTAACTTTTATTTTGCGTCCGGAATGTTCTGTCAGTGTTGCCGTGGATGCCAGCACACCGCAAAACCCAGCCCGGTGGGACTTGGGTGGGCACGGGGACCATAAGCCAGGAGCCAAGAAAGGATGCGAGGCACTTTGGACGCCCTGGCAAAGCCATAGAGTCCGTATCTGTCCCGTGCCAGCAGGTGACAAGCTCCGGACACCCCTGGGAGATGCTGTCACCACACTGACCCTGAGACACCGTGCTCTTTAAACGTCCCAGTCAGCGGATGCAGGCCCCTCCCCCCCATCACGCGGCTGCCGGGTTTGGTTCTTACACTAAGTATCACAAAACCAGCAGAGACCCTGACAAACAAAAACTACCCCAGAGCATTCCCGGTCAGACCTTACCTCACGCCCCAGGTCAGCTTCCACTTACGTAAATCAGGACACTGACTTGTAGCAGAACTTGGGGAATTTTTTTTTTTAAGGTGAAATATAGAGGTTATATCTTTTTATGTAAGGTCACCTTACCATTATCCTAAAATCTTCCTACCCTGTGGTAAGATTCTCGCAGCGCTTTGTTAAACAAACATACTGGGTCCAACACGACCCACCTTACGTGACATTTAATTCCATGGTGAAAGGGCGCTGAGACAATGGTTCGGTGTTCTGTTCCCTCAGAGCAGTGGTGGCTTTGCCCCCAGGGGGCGGCTTTGCCCCCAGGAGACACGGGGCGCTCTCTGGAGGTGGTTTGGTTTTCACGGCTGGAGAGGAAGGTGCTGCAGGCACCCGGTAGGCAGAGAGCAGGGAACTGCTACGCATCCTCCGTGCACGGGCCAGGCCGCCCCCGCCGCCCAGGAAGGAAGAGCGGGTGGGTGGGGGGCCACAGATGTTAGCAGGGCCAAGGCTGCGAAGCCCCTCTTCGGACGACGGGAGAGCAGGCCTGACGGGAACCAGTGCTCTCGAGCCACGCGCCGCTCTGCAACTGTTCCAGGTGTCCACCTGCGCAACCTGCACACTTACAAAGCCGCGGAGATGAAGTGCCGCTACTGCTCCTCCGTCTTCCACGAGCGCTACGCCCTCATCCAGCACCAGAAGACGCACAAGAACGAGAAGAGGTTCAAGTGCGAGCACTGTGATTACGCCTGCAAGCAGGTGCGTGCGTGGGTCGGCTTGGGGGCAGTGGGGCGTGGAAGAAGGGAGGGCTCGAGTGGGGTTCTCTCTTCGAAAATATTGGGAAAAGTCACGCTTGGTTATAATAGCCTGTTCAGGATAAGTTGAAAGTGACAGTTCTTAACGTGTATCCACAGCCCCGCAGAGCTTCTGGTAACCAATTGGGGGCCCACAAGATCAAACCGTTGTCTTAGATGCCAAGATAAGTCATCTGCCCTTTTCCTCCATTGGCATCTGCCCGCACGGTGCCACAGCAGTGGCGACACCCGCAGGACGGGTCGTGGCCGTGTTCTTCTCCTTCTCGCACTGGCGGCAGAAAGAAAAGGGCAGTTTCACTTAAGAATGTCCTTGATGAAGCAGTAAAAGTTGTTAATCTATTAAATCTCGACCCTGAATGCTTTCTTTTTGACGTTCCATGCGATTGAGGTGGGAAGTTGTCGTAAGCGCGTCCGTGGTCCTCCGGGGCTGGGCGGTGTCCGGAGGAGAAGCGGCTCCGGGGCTGCTTGAGTTGCCAGCCCAACTAGCCGCCCCCTCGCACAGAATGCCTGGCAGATGAACTCTGCTTATTCGGTTACTGGGCGGTTGGTGGACATTTCCTTGGAAACGATGGCAGCCTGTCCCTTCCAAGGAAACATGTGGGACTAGGAATGCAATTTCACTGTTCAAGAGAAAAATCAGAATTAGAATTTTGGAAAATTTATATTCACCACTGTGAGTTTTAGAGCTTTCTAATATTTAAGACTTTTCTAAGACTGGAGTTATTTTAAGAAAGCGAATTTTTATATTGTATAATGAAATACGTCAATATTTAAATGTCTCCATAACTCAGTAAACTGACATTTTCCAGATGCCCGATCCATGATGTTGCAGAATAGTGCGTGGGTAACAGATTCATTCAAAGTAGAGCACAGACCAGTGGATTTTAGCTGAACAGGGGACACCAAGTTCACTGGTAGCATTTCCCATCCCACATTGCAACCAACCTTTAAGAAATTACCACTCACTGAGTTTTGGAGTAATAGCAAAGAAGGTTGTACACAATTATTTTAAAAAGCTATTAAAATTCTTTTCCCTTTTTCAACTACATGTCTATGAGGCCAATTTTCTTTCTTATACCCCAGAGGACTGAAGGGAGAGCAGAGATGGGACTCCACTGGAATTCTTTTAATAAGGTTGTCGGACTTAGCAAATAAAAACACAGGACACCCAGTGAAATTTGAATTCCAGATAAACAATGAATAGTTTTGTATATAAATATGTCCCAGACATTGCAGTCTGTGTTTTAACTGGCAACCTTATTTATTAAGCGAGATACTAGGTTTTGGGGAGGGGGTGAGTGTTGGAAAATAGAGAACATATTTTTGCAGAAATACATTGACATGTAGTTAATTGTTTTTTTAAACTAATAAATATTTTTTAAAATAATTTTTAAATGTCTCAGTTTTGATTTTAATACAGTAAATACTAACACATATCACCCTCGTAAACAAAAGCTCTTTGGAAACTACAGTGATTTTTTAAGAGTATAGCAGGTCCTGAGACCATAGGGTTGAAGACCAGGCCGCTGCTTACACCAAGGTCTGCTATGATACTATTGGGAAGTAGAAGGAAAAACATTTAGGTATTTAACTTACTTCCCACCCCACGTGTCTGGTGAATTTGAACTCTTAACATTAGATTTTTTTAAGTGTGCAGGTTCTGTTTACCTTTCATAAACTCAGGTAATTGCAAGTAATTAAATAGAAATAGGACTTCAAATACGTGACCCTTTCAGAGAGGGAAAATGATCCCGGTTTCACTCCGCAAGGATGTGCTGCCACGTTCCCCTTAGGGCCGGAGAACCAGCAAGGAGTTAATTGATCGCAGGGACGTGGCGACTTGCCGGGACTGCACGCACATTTATTTCACAGGTGGCCATGCACTGAGGGACTGAGTGGTGCTTTGTTGAGATCGTGTTTGCGGCAATTTTCCTTAATAGTGGAACTATTCCCGGTCAGACCTTACCTCACGCCCCAGGTCAGCTTCCACTTACGTAAATCAGGACACTGACTTGTAGCAGAACTTGCGGAATTTTTTTTTTTAAGGTGGAATATAGAGGTTATATCTTTTTATGTAAGGTCACCTTACCATTATCCTAAAATCTTCCTACCCTATGGTAAGATTCTCTCAGCGCTTTGTTAAACAAACATACTGGGTCCAACACGACCCACCTTACGTGACATTTAATTCCATGGTGAAAGGGCACTGAGACGATGGTTTGGACTCAACTTTGGAGAGGAGAAGCGTTGTGCAATAAATAGTGTCTGGTGCTAAAAAAAAAACACAAAAAAAGCGTTTAGCTAGACGAGCTGTTTTCTCCCGCCCTCTCAGGAGCGGCACATGACCGTGCACGTGCGGACCCACACTGGGGAGAAGCCGTTCACCTGCCTTTCCTGCAACAAGTGTTTCCGGCAGAAGCAGCTTCTCAACGTCCACTTCAAGAAATACCACGACCCGAGCTTCGTCCCGGCTGTGTACGAGTGCCCCAAGTGCGGCAAAGGCTTCTCCCGCTGGGTAAGCTTGGTCGGGGCGCCGCCCGCCCCTCCGCGGGAGGATCCCTCGGTCGCGGAAGGTGGTGTCACACCGCGGGAGTGCAAACCTGGGCGTAGAAACTTGCCGGGGCGTAGGCGAGCTCCTGTCATGCCTTGGGAAGGCGGTTGCTACTTCTTTGGAGGCACAGAGTTCTTGAAGAATCTCGTGAACCTGTGGTCTCCCCTCCCCCTAAGAAGGGACAGTCCTACACACAAAACCTTGCAAGTAGTGTTAGGGTGTTCTCAGGCTCCCTGGAGAGCCCTGGCTTTCCGTGCAATATGTTAAAATTGTTCCTGTGAACTAGAGCTAGGCTACGTCACAGAGAGAACGCAGTTTTCAAGCATTTCTTAGACGTTCGTAGACTAGTGCTCTTGGTACAGTGTCAAGCAGCAGACGTACTCTTTGGTTTTATTCTTTTTTAAGGTGTTGTATGAGTTTTCTATTTCTGCCTAGCAAATCACCTCAAAACTTAGTAGTGGCTTAAAACAACAAGTGTTTATCGTCTCGCCCTTTCTGTGGGTCAGGAATTGGGAAGAGGCGTGGATGTGTGGTTCTGGCTTGAGGTTGCGGTCACAGTGTCCCCTGGGGCTGGATCTTCCAAAGGCTGGACTGGGGCAGGGGGATCCGCTTCCAAGATCGGTGCCCCAGGTGGCTGTCGGCAGGGCGACGCTTCTGTTCATGGGCCCCCCCATAGGGCTGCCTGAGCGTTCTCCTGACCCAGAGGACGAGAGGGAAAACAAGGAGGAGGCCACAGTGCCCTCTGCAGTCTGGCCTTAAAAGTGGCATCACTTTATTTCTCTTCATTGGAAGTGAATCCCTAAGTCCGGTCTACACACAAAGGGCGAGAAATGAAGTCCCTTTTGAAAGGAAAAGTAGCAAAAAATTTGTGGATATTTTAAAACCTCCTCAGGCGTCTGGCTAAGACCCCACAGTGCCTGCTGCAGCCCGCCTTTATATCTGAATTTTCTGAAGTTCACTATTTTTGTGGGGCGAAGTTGTATCTTTTCTCTTAAAAGAAAATGGTAGGGTGGTTGTGTTTTTATGAGTAGCATAGTGTGATAGTTCTGGAATGTTAATCTCGTTAGTTCAAGATTTCAAATAAAAGTGGCAGCAACGCTTCCGAAACAGCGTCACTCACATTGTGTTACGATTGAAAAGAGCTAAAATTAAAGAGTGGAGTTCTAAAGCGTAGAAACTGCCCTTCGGTGTGAGAAATCAAAACGCAGAGAAAAGAGGGAGTCAGCCTCACGCAGCCCCGCAGAACATGAAATCAGAACTTCTGAAGCTTTCCTTCTATTCAAGAGAAGCAAGCACACTTGGACTTGTGTCTAGAATATAAAGAACTCCTACAACTCAATAATAGACAGTGCCCAGTTAAAGACAGACAACGTACCTAGATAGACGTTTCTCCAAAGAAGACGTACAAACCGCCACCGAGCCCACGGCGGACCCAGGTCCGGTGATCCCCAGGGAAGCGCACATCGCAGGGCCCATCTGTTGGGACGGCCACAGTCGAAATGACAATAACAAGTGTGGGCGAAGACGTGGAGAAACTGGGGTTCTCGTACATTGCTGGCGGGATTGTAAAATGGTGATGTCACCCTGGAAAACAGTCTGGAAGTTTCTCAAAAAGTTATCAACACAGAGTTATCATGTAACCCGGCAATTATACTCTTAGGTACGTATCCAAAAGAAATGAAAACAGAGAGGCCGGGTGTGGTGGCTCACGCCTGTAATCCTAGCACTCTGGGAGGCCGAGGCGGGAGGATCGCTTTAGCTCAGGAGTTTGAGACCAGCCTGAGCAACACTGAGACTGTGTCTCTGTTAAAAACAGAAAAAAATAGCTGGATGTGGTGGCTTGCACCTGTGGTCCCAGCTACTCGGGAGGCTGAGGCAGGAGGGTCACTTGAGCCCAGGAGTTTGAGGTTGCCGTGAGCCAGGCTGACGCCACGGCACTCTAGCACAGGCATCAGAGTCTCAAAAAACGGAAAAACAAACGAACAAATAAAGAAACGAAAACATAGGCGTTCACAAAAGCACACAGATGTTCGTAGCAGCAGCATTCATAATAGCCAAAAAAAAATAGAAACTACCCAAATGTCCATAACTGATGAAGGCACAAGCAAAAAACATGGTCTGTCCACACCGTAGAATGCTGTTCAGCCATAAAAAGGAAAGAAGTCCTGATCGAGCAGCCAGACACGGAAGGCCACACGGTGCATGACTGTGTGTGTGTGTGAAATGCTCAGAACAGGCAGATGGGTAAAGATAGAAAGTAGATCAGCGGTGGCCAGGCTGGCAGAGGGCAGGGAGAGCAGAGAATGGCTGCTAATAGGGACACAGTTTCTCTTTGGGGTGGTAACATTCTAAAAGTGACAGTGGCAATGATTGCATAACTGAATAAACTAAAAAACACTAAATTTATACACTTTATTTATTTAACAAACATGCCAAAATGTTTCACTTTAATTGTAGACACAGCTCCTATATTGAGTTTTACAAAAAAGCACGTCTTTCAACATGCATCCAAACTATGTTCAGTATCATGTGGCGTAACGGCAACATTCAAAGTAGTTCAGCTGCTTTAACCTGAATACGCTTACTGCGTAAGTACACCCTACGATATACAACTAACCTGAGAAAAGCTGGGACTTGTTTAACAGTTATACTTTACTCAACTTTGCTGTTACATCCCAGATGAGTGCTCAAAAATACCCAACCTTAAATCTTTAAAACAATCCTGATTTCCACTTATAGAGTAAGCATAAATCACAAGCTTGTATTGCAAAAAACTGTTAAATTGGTTTTGTTTTTCTTAAAAAAAAGTTGACCAAGAGTCAGCGATCAGGATCAATTACATCATACACTTTAAGTGGACACATTATCAGGTTGGTACAAAAGTAATTGCAGCTTCGGACTTAATTTTAAATCATTAAAACTAGGCTGAGACACATCTTTATTAATCAAAATAGGAACCATTACAATGAACACATTTTTACCAACGAGAAATACGTTTGTTTTTTCCTGTAGCGTAAAAATCTGTGCTTCGGGATTCCACGAACTCTTGGGAAGCATTTTCTGCATCCTGCTGGTTGTGGAAGTGCTCTCCCTGCCCAAAGTTGCCGAGACGCTCGAAGAGGAGGAGGCGGGTGGCGGGAGGCCGGGGGAGTGTGGCGCATGAGGCCAAACTCCGCGGCCCGATGCGTTCGACTTCTGAAGCGTGGGCCCAGCGGCGTGCAGCCGGGTGTGGCCGTGGCGGAGGCTCGGGCCTCCCCGTTGACCAGCGCCGCTGCCGGCCCGCAGTTTGCGGAGCGCCCATGGGTCCCCGGAGCGCCCGGCCCGGATGTGACGGTTCCGCCGCGACCCGGAAAGCTGTGGCGGATCAGACCGGCAAGCAGGGACCGAGACCTTTTTATGGGGCAGGTTTGGGTTTGGGGCGTGCTGTGGAGCTTCTGCTCAGTCCGGCCACCGAGCTGGTCACCTCCGGTTGTCTATACAATCCCCTTTTCATCGCACGTCACAGCCCGATCCAGAAATGGTTCATTGTTGCATACAAGAAGAGGAGACGACACTTCAAAATGATGATTTTTGTGGTTTGCGGTCAGCTCATGAGGCACCCACTAACAGAGCTTTTCCCCCTTTCCAACTTGCTTCAAATGCCGAGCGACTGTAGGACGGTCGATGTTGAGTTCTTTGGCAACTTCTTTGGCAGTTACAGTAGTTGTGAGAGGATCAGCTTCGATGACTGCTCTCAGTTGGTCGTTGTCAGCTCCCAAGGGCCGGCCACTGCCCATCTTCAAGGCCCTCGTCTCCTTTGCAAAACTTCCTGAACCGCCGCTGCACCGTCTGTTCGTCAACAGTTCCTGGGCCACACGCGTTGTGGGTGTTGCCAGTTGTCTCTGCTTACACCCCATTTTGAACTCTAATAAAGAAAATTGCTGGAATTTGCTTTTTGTCTAACATCATCTCCACGGCCTAAGATAAATAGAAAGTAAACAGCAAGTAATGTCAATAGCAAAAAAAAAAAAAAAAAAAAGCAAGAAATGTACATTAAAATGATATATAACATAAATTCATTTATTTAAGAATGTATCCCAGTATCAGATTGCAAATTTCAACAACGCTAAAACCGTAGTCACTTTTGCACCAAGCTACTGTATGGCATGTGAATTGTATCTCGATAAAGCCGTTAAAAATAAAGCACAGCGAGGGGTGCTTGAATCCAGTTTAATTTTTAACAAGTCAGTCATTCACAGCTTCCTTAGCACACAGAACCACGGCGTCGCTCTGTGGCAGAGTGCCACCCGCCATCCCGGACCGGACCTGCCTCTCCGGGGAGGGCCCCTTGCTCTGGGTCTGGAATTCGGGCTCCTGCTCTCTCGAGAAACAGCTTTCTGACACAGACGTTTGTCCCGTTAGTTTACCCTCTGAGTCCAGAGTAGCCTAAGCGCCACACTGGTTTACTGGAATCTTCATCCAGTGAAGGCTGGGCACGTTGTTGTTTTATTAATGCTCGCTAATACAAACCTGACCTCGGCAGTTCTTAGCCCTGGGCTTCCCGGCTGTCGGCAGACAGTGTGTCTGCTGGGGAGGAGCCGTGGTGTTCGTCGTATTCTGGAAGGAACCCTGGAGCCCCCAGAGGCGTGGCGATGCACAGGCATTCCGTGCGCCAGGGCCTGGCAGGCCGTTCCTGCAAAGAGCCCAGCAGTGAATGATTTCGGCTCCGCAGGCCGCAGTGTCTGCCACAGCGGCTTCCCCCGCTCCGCGCCCCGAGAGCGGCCCGGGCCGGGCCCTTCGTGAGTGAGCAGACGGTCGGACTGCCGCCCCGGCCGTGGCTTGCCGCCCTTGTGCACGGGCATAAAACGGAAGAAGTGTAGTAACCTTACGTGTAAATTCTTCCTTCTCCGGCCCACAGACCAGGGCGGGCCTGTTACGCGGAGTACAGACGCCCCGCGGGAAGGAGGTGGGGAGTTTCACGTCGTCGGCAAACGCAGGGCCCCCTACCCGGCCGTGACTCTTGCGCGTGAACTTTTCAAGTGGTGAACACTCTCTAACTTAGGTTATCCCAAATGTGCATCGTGTGAGACTGTCGCTGATAGGCTTGGCGAGGGAACCTTTGGCTTGTGATCCCAAGTGTCGTGTACAGTTTAATAACTGCCACCCGTCACCTCTGCCCAGCCGCTTTGGGAAAGAAGCTGGCAGCGCAGCAAAGCCTTTGGGACGTGTTGTCCACCGTCGTGAAGTGGACTGATGGGCTGAGCTTCTGGCTCAACTGCAGTCTTCACTTTAGAGAGCGGAAGCATCCTAAACAATAAATTCTGTCTTCTCCTTCCTTTCTATTATAAAAAATATTTAAAAGAAGCTCACTTAATAGCTGGGCGCAGTGGCTCACGCCTCTGATCCTAGCACTCTGGGAGGCTGAGACGGGCGGACAGCTCAAGGTCAGGAGTTCGAAACCAGCCTGAGCAATATCGAGACCCCCGTCTCTACTAAAAATATTAAGAAATTAATTGGCCAGCTAAAAATATATAGAAAAAATTAGCCAGGCATGGTGGCGCATGCCTGTAGTCCCAGCTACTCAGGAGGCTGAGGCAGGAGGATCGCTTGAGCCCAGGAGTTTGAGGCTGCTGTGAGCTAGGCTGATACCACAGCACTCTAGCCCGGGCAACAGAGCGAGACTCTGTCTCAAAAAAAAAGGAAAGAAAAACAAAAGCTCACTCTGGGCTAGACCTAATCACAGCGGAAAGGGCCACCTTTAGAAAGGCGTCGACCTTGCACAAGGTGACAGAAGGTGCACATTACCCGCGGTTCTTGCAGTGGGCTGATGCTTGTGTGTTCTGTGTCATTTTTTCAACAGAATAACATGAACAGACATTCAGAGAAGTGTGACCCAGCGCAAAAGAAGTCGGCCACCTCAGGGAAAGGAAAAAAAATGAAGAAGAAAAAGCAGATGGTCCCGAAGGAAGCCGCGAAGGAAGCCGGTACCTTGTGTTAAACGAATTCATTTTTAATCTGACGGTGATTTTCTAGTTAGTGACTGTCCGGGGTGCTGGAAGCTACTGCACAGGGGCCGCGTCCGGAAACCCCATTTCTCCACCAGCCAATGCCCCGGGACGGCGCGGGTGCGGGGCCTGGACAGGTGTCGCCCTAGCGCGGCTCTGGGGCCGGTTCCTGCCCTGGTGCAGGTTCTGGTGAGCTGCGAGGTGGGCGTGGCTCCTTAGTCCCCTCTGGGAACCGCGGCGGGGATGGTGGGAGAGGTCAGTGTGAGCGTCCACACCCCGCCCCGTGGTTCCTCATGAGGCGTGTATGCATGGCCGAGTGACAGACGTGTGCACCCCACTCTCCTTGCCCTGGGAGGTGTCCGGTGTCGTGCTGGACTGCTGCCTGCGCCTGCAGGGACTGTCCTGGGCCACAGCGGCGAATGACCACAAACCGGGTGGCTTGGGCAGCAGAAGGGAACCCTCTCGTGGCTCTAGAGACTGAAGTCCCCAGTCGAGGTGTGGGCAGGGCCACACTCCCTCGGGGGCTCAGGGGGAGGCTCCTTCCTGGCCGCTTTCAGCTCTGATGGCTCCAGTGTTCTGTGGCTCATGGCCGCGTCACTCCAGTCTGCGTCCCCACCTTCACGTAGCCCTCGCCTCTCTCCCACGTCTGTGTCTGCTCCTCTGTGCTTATGACATGCTTGTCACGGTTAGGACTTAGGGCTTTCTTGGAAAATCCTGCATGACCTCATCTGGAGACCCTTCATCATATCAGATAAGACCCTCTCTTTTCAAAGAAGGTCACATTTGCAGGCTTAGGGACTTAGTGTAGGGACATGCCCTTTCCGGGGCCGCCGACCCGAAAGCCATCGCGGTCTTCATCCTCTGGCCGCCGGGGGCCGACTCGAGCTCCCAGGTTGGCGCGGACGGTCCACCCCGTGTGCGCCGGGGGTGACTCTGAGCCGGGCGGGCGGGCGTTGCCTTCTCTGTTCGTCCATGAGAACCTCAGACCGCGGTGGTGTCTGGAAGCCGGAGGGCCGTACGGCAAAAGCACAGGCTCATCACTCCGTCTGTGCCCGTGTCAGGCCACCCTCGATCCTCGACGTGGAAGTGTTCCCGCAGGCCTGGGTCCCCAAACCCTGCACGGTCCCAGCTTCACCTGCATTCACAGCCGCCCCCGTCGCCGGCGTCACTGCCTGAGCATCCTCCCGTCATGTCAGCGGCGGCTCCCACTCTCGCAGGAGCGGGCCGCTGTACCTGTGCATGGCCAGGGGTCTGGGTTGCGGCTCCTTGTGGGAATCTGGCGCCTGGGGGTCTGAGCGGGAGCTGGGGCGGTGACGCTAGCGCTGGGGGGCGGCTGCAGACACAGGTTGTCATTCTCGGGAGGTATGGCTGCACAATGAATGCCATGCGCTCGAATCATCCCGAAACCATACCCCACATCCCAGTCCATGGAAAAACTCTTCCACGAAACTGGTCCCTGGTGCCAGAAAGGTTGGGGACCTTTGCCACAGATGACTGTCATCCTTTCGACTGCCTTCCTTCAAGAGCTGCCAAATCACACAGAGGATGCCCAGCTAAGTCTAAGTTTCAGAGAAAGAACGAATAGTTGTTTAGTGTAAGTATATCCCACACGCTATTTGGGACATACTTATACTAAACACTCAAAACCGTCATTTGTGTGAAGCTCAGATGGAAGCAGTGTCCTGCAGTCCTTGCCTTCCCTCCCCGCTGTGCAGAGCTGGCTCTGTCTCCCACTGTCATGTGCCACACACCCTTGCTGCCTCTGTCTCTTGCCCATGTAGATGACAGCCCTCTCCTTGCCTGGGCGGTGCAGCCAGGACCCTGCAAGGTCCCCTGTCCCTGCGCCACCTCCCGGCTCGGGTAGGGCTGCCCACACCTGCCTCGCCCTTCTCCTCTGCCCCGGGAGGCAGCACCCTCAGCCGGAGCTCACACTGCAGCCCTGCGGGGCGGGGGCGCTGCCATCCTGGGTCGGAGGGAGGGAGCTGAGCTGCCAGTGCTTTCTGCTGGCTTCTAGAACCTTCCGCTCCACACTCCCAGCCCACCCCCTCCCTCCAGCCTGAGGCTCAGCACTCCTCGCCCCCCAGGACGCAGCTGGTTCCCAGGGCTGCGGCCCTCACTGGGTCAGAGCAGAGGGAAAATGAATGTTCCAGTAATGGGGAGTCCAGCCTGGGCTAGATTTGCTTTTATACCAGTGATGTAAAATAACATTTTTTCATATTTTCTTTTTCTTTTTCTTTTTTTTTTCTGAGACAGAGTCTCGCTTTGTTGTCCAGGCTAGAGTGAGTGCTGTGGCATCAGCCTAGCTCACAGCAACCTCAAACTCCTGGGCTCAAGTGATCCTTCTGCCTCAGCCTCCCAAGTAGCTGGGACTACAGGCATGCGCCACCATGCCCGGCTAATTTTTTCTATATATATTAGTTGGTTGGCCAATTAATTTCTTAATATTTTTAGTAGAGACGGGGTCTCGATATTGCTCAGGCTGGTTTTGAACTCCTGACCTCGAGCAATCCGCCCACCTCGGCCTCCCAGAGTGCTGAGATTACAGGCATGAGCCACCACGCCCGGCCTTTTCATATTTTCATGGAGGAGGGACCCACAGAAGTCATGGAAGAGCCGCCCCTCCCATCTGACCCGGGACCCTTCATCCTCCCCTCCCCTCCCCCAGCTTCTCCCTCCCAGCCTCGTCCTCCCACCAGCCTCAAAGGTGGTCACGGTCTTCGGAAAAGATACAACCTCCCACACCTCCTGGTTCCCTGCGGACCTCTTGTGCACTTGGCTCACCCCACCCACTCCTCAGCACTGTCCCTTCTGTCCCCATCAGCCACTTGAGGTCCCCAGAGGCTCCTTGTCACCACCATCCGCTGACCTTTCCCTGCACTCTGCTGCCGGCCACATTACCGACCATTCACCTTCCCAGCCCCTCTGCACCCTCCCCATGTGGGCCTGGTGCCCCCCAGCTACCCCCTCCTCTGCCTCCGGCCTCTGCAGTAGATGTGGTTTCCCTAGGCAACCAGTCTGTGCCCGTCTTCACCCACACCTGAGCCCAGAGCCACACCAGCACCTGCACCCACCATCAGGCCCACACTGTGCCCCAGAGTGCCTTCCTGCACCCCTGCGCCCCACACCTGTGCCTGTGCCTACACCTGCCCCCAGGCCACGCCCGGGCCCACACGCACGCCCTCTCCTGGGGCTTCAGCTGCTGCGGGGATCGGTGTGCGGTGATCTGTCTTAAACTCTCAAAGTTGTGCTCACAGCTCCTAAGCCGCTGGAGGGTGCACAGGTTACAGCCTGGCCACGCCCTGGGCGTGCTCACAGCGTGTGCCTAGCACCACGCTTGCCCCAGAAGCAGCACCCAGGACACGCTGATTGGCTGCAGGGACGCGCCCTGCGAGCAGCTGGCGTTTTTTTTCACTTTGGTGGCGTCTGTCACTCCACGGTGCACGGTCCAGGTCTGTGAGATCCGCATTCAGCTCCCAGCAGTCCCAGGTCCCCAGCTGGGCACGATTTGGGCCGCCACCCTCCCCCAGGGGACACGTGGCAGTATCTGGAGCCAGGTTTGGTGGTTGAAGCTGAAGAGGAGGGTGCTACTGGCGGGTGGCGGGTGGAGGCCAGGTTGCTGCTAACATCCCGCGGTGCCGGGGACAGCCCCGCTGTCAGAGCACCTGGCCCCAGGTGTCTGCAGCGCCGAGAAACCCTGACTTAAGGCAGACAGTTGGGGTCAGAACACTGGTTCTGCCCTGCCAGTCAGAAGACTGTCTCCCAACAGGCTTGCTGCTGCGTTAAAATTAAAGTGATTATTTCCGAAATATATTTGCACAGCTTATCAGTTGCAACTTCTTGGCTTTCTGTTGAATGTGCTCACTCCATGCCTTTTTCCCCAAGAAACTGCCGTTGAGGAGGCTTCCGCCGAGCGGGGAGAGCAGTCCCCAGGTGAGATGGCGCTTGCCGGCTGCGGAGAAACCACGGCGGGCAACAAGGACCTGGACGGAGACTTGACCTGTGAAATGATCCTCAACATGATGGATAAGTGATGGAGGCGAAAGGTTACAGCCTCTAATTCTCACAGCAAGATAGAAATTGTGAGCGTCCTCTTTGACACAGTTAAGTTCATGACAATAGGTGGTCACAGACATTTTTTTCAAAGTTTGAAGTAATGCCTAGAATTGTTTGCCTGTTTTTTAACTGAATATTTCAAAACACATTGCAGGTATTTTATAAAAGACGTAAACCTTGAATCAGAGGGTAGCACCTCAAATCTATGAATTCATTCGCCTGGCACTGGCAAGGTGGCCCGCAGGAAAGAGTAATGATTTTTGGATAATAGTTATTTCTGTAGTCTTTTAGACCAGACAGTACTTCAGCCAGCAAAGCTGGAAAATTTTATGTTGAGTATACACACCTGTGATATTTTTAATACTATGCTATTTCAAATGAAAGACTGATTTTATATTCTTTTTTTATACAAATGAATTTTCCATAAGATTTTAAAGCTACCATAATGCTTTTAATTAGTTCCAAATTCAACCCAAAAGATATTAATATTATTTAAAAACGGAATGGGAAATTAAAAACTAGATTAGACTAGAAAGTGATGAGTAATCTATTTTACTTTGGTATAGGAGCAAGGAAGGGTCCCTTTAGACTTTTATATTCTCTTTTTTATTTCTTTTTTAAAAATTTATTTCAAAATATTGTTTTTAAAAATTTATTTCAAAATATTCTTTTTAAAAATTCATTTCAAAATAGTAAGGGGCTACAAATGTTTTTGTTACATGGGCAGCTTTTATAATGCTTTAGTCAGGGCCACAAGTGCCCATTTACTGTACCTGGATTTTGTGTTCTCTCCTAATTGTGTTCCTTGGTCAGTATGAAATTTCCCTGGTGACATTCCATTATTACTTAACTTCACAGCCCTTTTGTTCTGCTAAAGCTACTTTGTTTATATTTCTAAATAATTGGCAGAGTGAGAAGAAACAACAATTTGATAATGAAAATGTGTGCTTGTAAAGAGTTTGCACTTGGTTATAACACCCAATGACTAGTGAGTGTTTCTCTCTTGCCAGTTGAGGAGGTTTGCCCACCCTGCAGCAGCGTGGGAAACACCCCCTTAGCGCCCCACCAGTACCTGTGTCTACACGGGACCGGATTTCTTTGCTTAGCCCAGCAGCTGCTTTTTGCTGTGAACCTCCCTACACCCTCAGATTTCAGAACCACCGCTAGGTCCCTAAGTTGAAATTCTTAAAACGTTGATCTGTTATTAAAAATATCTCGAGTTCAGAAGCCCTGTACAACACGAACATGTGGGAAGGATTTCCCAGCCGGGAAGGCATCGTAATTCTCTCTGCACCAACAAATTAATTCAATTCACGTGATCCAATGAGATTGAAACTCCATTCTGTGGTCTGTTGTATGCTATCATTGCAGACTGAAATTTTTGTGATAGTTGCTTATTTTTCGACCGATGTCTAAAGATGTTTTATATAACTCAATAAAATGAAATGAAGTGACTTCAGGTCGCTGTCTCTGTTGTCTGTCAGTGATGGTCCTTAAAAACACCTCCTTGTGTGGAGAGGAGGGGAGAAGCTGGGAGCCCCGTGCCCTGCCGCTGGGAATGGCAGGGGCAGCCGCTGCGGAAAACTATGGCAGCTCCTCAAGGAATGTAAAATGGAATTGCTGTGATTCATCAACCCGAGGTTCCTGGATGTACTGTATACCCAAAGAGAACTGAAAGCAGAGTCTCCAAGAGACCTTTCCACACCCGTGTTCGTGGCAGCATTACTCACAATAGCTAACAAGTGGCAACAACCCAAATCGCCCGGATGGGTGAACAGATAAACAAATGTGGGATACAGATAACATGGAATGTTACTCGGCCTTGCAGCGGAAGCAGGTCCTGGCACATGCTGCAGCCTGGGTGAAATCAGCCAGTCACAAAAGGGACAGATACTGTTTGAGTCCATTCATATGCGGTACTTGGGTCCATGGAGGCAGAAAGTAGAATGGTGGTGGCAGGGGCTGGGGGGAGAAGGGGTGGGGAATTAGTGTTGAATGGGCGTAGCGTTTCAGTTTAGCCAGATGAAAAGAGTGGAGATGGATGGTGGGGATGGCTGCACAACGGTATGAATACACCTAATACCACTGAACTTAAAAATATTTCAAATGGTATGTTTTGTTATGTCTATTTTACTACAGTTGAAAAGTTTTTTAAAAATTTAAAGAACAGATAATATAAGAAATGTTTGAAAATGCAAGCCCGGTTTGTATCTAAACACAGTTAAAAACTCCTTGTAAGTAGGCTTTTATAAGTAATTGCAGTGTTTTGCACGTGTAACACCTGGGTGAGCTATTATGTGGAACAGACTTCAGGTGGAAGGTCGATGCTGATTCAATTATGTGCCCACACGCTCACCAAACACCTGGATCAAAGGTGAGACTCCACCTGTGCACTGTTAATGCATTTGATTCTGTAGCAGAAGCAATGGCCATTGTGCCCACAAGAGGGCAGTCGTTTCCCTGTTTTTTGTACATTGAGATGGGTTTGCTGATCAAGCCTGTAATAAGAACGCAAAGTTATAGCTGTTGCAATCTTATTAATTTCGTACCATACCGGAAAAGGGAGAAAGTAGTTGTCTTTAATAGGATTCCTTGCACCTGAGGTCGCTAAGTAAGAGAAGGAGCCTTAGCCAGGCTCAGTGGCGTGAGTTCCAGCCACTCGGGAGGCTGAAGCAGGGTCGTTTGCGCCCAGGAGTTGGAGGCTGCAGTGAGCTGTGATCAAGCCACTGCGCTCCAGCCTGGGTGGCAGAGGGAGAAAAAGGGAAGGGGCCTTTGCAAAACCTGGGAGTGAGGACGCTTTGGCTGGCTCTGAGTTTGAGAGTACTTGATAAGTGACACCTTCGGAACTCTTCAGCTTAAAATAGTTTTGAGACCCAGGAGGAAAGAATTCTGGAGCGTACACCTCTTGCACAATGTGACGTCTCTGTTGCAGGGAGGGGGTGTTTAAATTACAGCGTTGTTTGACAACACTCGTACTACATAAAGGACGGCGTTTAAACAGTCCTGAGGCCTGGCTGGTGCAGGTTACCAACCCCTGGTTGAGATCTGTCCCTGAGGAGGCTACATACTACAGGGTTAGCCCCGATGAAACGAAGTCATTTTATGCTGTAAAGTTTGACAGCCTGCCTTTTGAACATGGCAAGATATTTTCCAGGTTATTATTTCCAGCATAAATGTTTAAATTTTTCTGATAACCATCGATAATCCTCCGAACCGTCCCCATAAGTGCATTCTTTGTGACCGTTAGTGGTTAATGGACATTGTTGTTTGTATTTAACAATGCTCAGTTAAAGCCTGAGGATGTCTGGTGTACCCACTTGCCTGTTTCTACATTTCCCCCGTCCTGTCATTGCCGTTTATTTTTAATTGACTATATCAGATAAACACAGATTTTAAGTGGCGGCCTACTTTATGATGCTATTTTTAGGAACTTTTGTAGCGTTTCCAAGGCATGGTTGTGATTATGAACCTGGTTCCTATAAATCATTGTCTTTTTTTAAAGTATGAGCAGCTTAGCATTTCAAGATGCATGTGCCTCTTCTGTGCAATGTGGAGTGTTAATACTCTGCAGCGTGCTCACTGTGCTTGTCCGGACAAAATTGCCATGAAAAACTCTGAATCGGGTCTCAGTGGCTAGACGCCGTAGAGAGCACACGGAAAGGCTGCCCGGAGCTCTCGCCGTGAAACGTTCCTGTTCGGAGCAGCCAGTGCCTAAAAGGGCGTGCTGCTGTCCTTTTTTCGAAACCAGTGTGCCAGTTTGCACCAGTCCAAAGGTCACTGATTAGAAGATCCGTCCTGATGATTACTATGATCCTACCTGAAGGCCTCAACTATCCAAAGCAGTCAAATAACAGAAAATCACATGCCAGACAGTGCATTACTTTAAACCGGTCGGCAGCGGTCACTGTCTTCCACAGCAAAGAGCTGTGTTTCCTCCTGCTTTTCCAGGGCAGCCGCTTCCCCGCGCGGCTGTCATAAAACCTGAAACACGTGTGCTTGGTGGGAAGCCGCTCACCTCCGATTTCACAGCGTGAGAACCGCCTTCTCCCTGCAAATGCAGGCCCTGTGCTCGCGGCGCCGGCGTTACCTGCGAATTCCGACAAGACAGTTTCCAAAGGGGTTCAGGGATTTTTCTATGAGATAAAAACAGCCATTCCTTTCCATTAAATAAATGCAGGGGGGGGGGAGTCTTGTTATGCAGGAGCGCCCAGGTTTGCTGCTCACATAGAAGGTTTTAAATCCAGCAGCTCCTGGAGTTCAAAACCCGATTTGAAAGGGAAGACGGGGACAGGTGAGCCTGTCCCGCCTCCGCTGCTGAGCACCATTAACGCGTCCGCGGCCTCAGGACGCGAGTCATTCATCTACTGCAACGCTCCGGTTGAGCGGGAGGCCGGGCAACTCCCAGGACAGACGCTGGAGGCCGAGGGTTCAGAGCGGGGCGGCGCCCCCTGGCGATGGCCACAGCCTCCGACTTCCGAAGGGCCTGCACTGTTAGGACGTGTTGCCAAGGATGTCGAGGTACGGTGAGTAGACAGCTGTGACCCCGGCTCTGTTTGATTGCTGGAGGTCAGATTCCCTCAGACACGCTGGAACCAAAGGCAGGTGATCTGCAAAGAAACTGTCAGAAGCGCAGCCGGGTTCCGGAGCTGCCAGGGTGAGGCCCGAGGCCCGGAGCTCCCGCGGGGAGGAGGGTGGGCGTGGGGTGAGGGGTCCTTGGGGCTGGAGGGCAGTTGCTGGAGCTGCAGTCAAGGGCGAGCCCGGCGTCCGGCAGGAGCGCTTGGGCAGCGCATGTGGTTTCCGTGCGTCCTGGGCAGCCCCCAGCCCCTTGGGGTGCTTCCTGCTGGGGGCCGCCTGGGCAGAGCCCTGGATCCTCTCACTTGGGTGCACTTTTTGCTGCACGGCCACCAGCCACTGGTCACTTCATCCACCTCGGCCGACGTGGTCCCTCCTCCGGAGGCGTGGCTCTGCTAACGTCCTGCCGGGTGACACCCTGGCCTTCCTCTGCCCCCATCGTCCAGGAGCCCAGCTCCCTGGCCTGGCATTCGAGGCCCTCCGAGTGCTGGCTCAGAAATCTCCTCAGGCCTGGGTTATCACCCAGGGAGCGTGGAAAAGATGCAGACTCCTGGGAGCTCTGCCCCCCCAGGTCACGGAATTAGAATGGGAGGGGTGCGCCCCCCCAGAGCCAGCCCCAGGCCACCTGCTCTCCAGTCTGAGTTTCTCTCCTGCTCTCGCAGGTATGGGGAAAGTGGAAGATTCTTCCAGTAGCCAGGCCCTTAGCATTTTATTCTGGGTGATTCGGCCCGAAAGAGCCACTCAGCATCCCTCTCCTGGCCTGTCAGCTGGGTCTTTTGTTCCAGGCGGAATGGAAGAAGGTGGAGCCTCTGGAAGCGACACGGGACCGTGCTGTGGAATTCGCTCAGCCTCCTCTGTGGCTTGACCAGCGTGGTCCCGCTCGGGCCACGTGGAGCACAGAGAGCCTGAGCCTGCAATTTCGCAGCGGCCGAGCAGGGCCGGGGCAGGGGAGGGGACAGCGAGAAGATTCGGGATCTGACTGCACAGGGCGTCCCGTCCCAGGCTGGACAGCAGGTGGGGTCACGGGAAGCACCGGCAGGAGTACCCGACGTGTGCAAGTCCCTGGCTCTGAC